CGAAACGGTAGAAATATGGACACATTTTTTAAAATAAAACTTCAATGAAAACGTCTTCTCTTGCGTATGCCACCGTGCAACCCCGCCGCGCCCGGTAGCCCCCCGCCACAGCCCCCACCGCCCCGCCGGGACCGAGCGACGCGCGCGACAGTGAGACTCATACGCACGCGCCGAAGTGACGTGTCCTCGCGTTCCCGCGCACGCGACGCGCCCGCCATCGTGAGTTTTACGAGATGTACGAGTTTATCTTCTGAGTGGTGAGAACCTACATAAGCGCAATTCGGAGAAAGTATGCGACGAAGAGCATACCTCGTATGCGGGCCTTTGGGATCCGTAACCCCGCGGTCCCTAATGCTTCGAACCATTTTAACAGACGAAGTCCCAGAGTCAGTACCCACGATGTGGCATATCTCTTTGGTGTGAGCCAGCCTGCGGTATTGAAGCTGCTAAAAAAAGCCGGACTCCATCCGTACCACTTCAGCCGGTTCAGCAGTTCCATGACCTAGACCCAGTACCACGTCGAGCCTTATGTGAGTGGCTTCTACATCACCGCGATGCAAACATCTTGTAGACGGATGAGGCATTGTTCACAAGTGAGGGACTGTTTCTTATGGGAAGAAGTCAAACGCCGAGATGTAGAGGAGGCACAAAGTCTAATAGACTTAACAATAAAAAATAATAACGCTTTCAGTGAAGTGAAAAGTGACACTAGTGTTTTAAACACATTAAATGACAATTTAATGAAATGTGCTCGTTAATGTCTGGACAGACGTGGACTTCATTTTAAACAAATATTAAAATACATGGTAAGTAATTAGTTAGGTATTTGTTTTGATTCAACATTATTGTAAATACGTAGTTGATTCTAATTTTTTTAAATACGCCTTAACGCAGAAGTACCTATGTAACTTCGGCATAACGTTAATATTTTTTTCTAGGTAACGAATTTGTTTCTCTTTTATTTTTTTGCATTTTGATGGCCTTAACCATAAAAGTATGAAGGGCAAATTGGAATAACTCTTAGAAATCACCTCAGATCATGGCATAAAATCTAGTTCGAATCTAACAAAATGAGCGTTCAGTGACCCGTGTAGATAGGTACCTACGAGTACATGCCTACGGCGTCGAGCGAGCGCTCAGTTGACGAACGGCGCGCGGTGTCCATAAATTAAGTTTTAAAATCTCGATCTTTGATAAGCGATAACTTTATTTTTTAGTATAAGAACATATCAAAATAAAAAATACGTGTTTATTTAAATTACTTAAAGTTTATTTTCACAAAATCTTTGCAGTGGTTTTAAATTATTCCTGTATATATATGAACTACACTAGATGGCGTTAAATTAATTCTAAATTGCAGATTTTTTTGCCTAGAAAATTTACCAAGAATTACTTTTCAGCCAGCTGATGGCGAGTATATTCTAAATAGCGCTATTATTTTGGTCAAAGAACTGTGCGCAGGCTTTAAATCGAAAACATACGGAATTTCCATGTTTAGATTAAAGAAATTGCAATGATGTGTGTTCTTCATTTCATCAATAATTAATTTATTGAGGATAACTATTGCTAGGTCTTAACATAAGATTTTCACAAAGCCTATTTTATATTACATTTGTTCATTCATAATATGTAAGCACCTTAGTATAGGTTTCCAAGTAAAAATGTCGCGGCCAGATCGTGGAATTGACCAATTCATGATGCGGTCAGCCATCTCATAATATGTTTGTATTTTATGTCAACAGTACAGGCAGCTGAGACTAAATTTAGTCGATTGGTTACTCATTGTCAGCTTTAATTAATACAACAGATGACATTTAAAGTTTATTCATTAATTACTTTCATATTAGGTTTGAGGACAAAAAATTTTCAGTATTCCGAATAATATGTAAATCCAAGACATTTAAGTGACTTTCTGATCCAATTAATTTTGAAAAATATAATGAAACGTGCATGAATTGTAATATTCCTATTCTTCTGTTCTGTTGCGGACTTAAAATAAATTTGGGAAAGATCGATCGTCGGAGGGGTTGCAAAAAACTACGCGAGGCGTGACAGTTCTCTGGTGTATTTTGGCCCGTTCTTACTACGTAACTCTATCCGTAGAGAAGGCACGTATCCCACTAGTGCTGTTAAAAGGCTGGTGACGATGATGATAAAAAGTGCTAATATACTAACCAACATATTAGTTTCCTCATTGAATATCGTTGAGAAGTCAACATAAATATTACATCTCTCCATCACCAAGTTCCCCATTGGTAATGAGTATTCCTCATCACTATGAGTTTGGATGATGTCAATAGAAGCACCCCGGAAAGACACGCAACTCATGGAAGCCTGTGGCAAATTATATAAACCATAAACACAGTACCTACTAAGGTGAATAAAGAATATTACGGTATTTATGTCTTGTTTTCAAATTTCTTGGCATTATATGAAAGCTCGGTAGTTTGCAGACGTAGCGGATAAGCGCCGCCACTCGCGAAAAATGTTGTTAAGCAACTTTCGCGAGAGTCAGTCACGGGATGGGTGACCGAAAAGTGTTATCTTGAGCTACTGCGTCTTTAAAAAGGCACGTTAAGCTACTGGTCCCGGCTGCATTCGCAGTCGTCAGTACCCTTCAATCCGGATTGGGACAGCGTTAAGGGTCATGGCCCGTTCTCCTTGACTATTCATAAGGAAGACATGGAAAGGCTGATAATGATGATATATGAAAGCAAAACAAAAAAATTTAACCTTACAGCACAAGTATTAGCATTTATTGTGTCAGAGGAAACATGGCTTAGTGATTCATTGTAGATGATGATACTCACGACTCTGAGATCTGCCTTTACACAATTGATGACATAAGTAACTCCTAACCCTTTTGTGTGGATTTTGACCATGTCCTTAAAAGTAGTATCCCTAGAGTTTCCAATGTAATCCTCTGTAATAAAAACAATAAATATGAAAAAAAAAAATGACATTGTTTATGTCATAAGTTATGTTACCAAAACTCTGTTATAGTAATTTGAAGTAACAAACTCAGATTTGAGATATTGTAGGAAACTTAATTTTTCCTAAAGGTCCCTACAGACCCGTTAGACCCATCATACGGATACTTGTTCACCATACACGTAAGCGGGAGCAAACTAAGATCTGCAACTATCCATCACTCGATACTTTTTATACTGCATTATCAGAAACTGGATAATGCAGTAGAAACTGGCTATTTCGGATTTCCTTTAGGAGATTAACACTTAAAGTGTAATTGGTGGAAGTTGAGATTTTTAACAACTCATAAACTCTCTTCATGGATGGAATAAGAAACGTATTAGTTAAAAGTAATAATTTTAGACTTTTGCAAAACAATGCCTAGTTGCACAAGAAATGAACGACAAATCCCAGCTATTTTTGATGTGATTGTGCTATAATGATAAACTTGTGTAATTTTATTTAAATAAACGGAATCAAAATGATAATTACTTTTTTTACTTACCTTTCAATTCTGGAAATATTCTCATCAAAAAGCGTTTCTTGCGGACGTCGCTAACCGTAGCGAACACTTGCAGTCCGTGAGCCAAAGCTATGGATATAACTGCCTGACCGAGGGCACCGGCACCTCCGTGAATAAGGATACTTCGGTTGCTGAGCATTTGCACTTTAATTGCCTACATAATGAAAGAAATTAAAAAGTACAAAGCACGTTACCGTAACCAAACGTTAAACATTATAAAGATCCGGAATAGTTAGTTACTATTATTGTTAGGCGCATGGTGGATGGGACTTTGGTGATTCTGAGGTCAAATTGCAGTAGAAGAATTTATATTATAAATTGTTTAAATTTTAATTAAAATAATAATGGTTTTATATAGATTGGGTACTCTTTTATTGTAGTTAATTTGTACAATCGGTATGAAAGTTGCAGTCATCTTTTCTGTTCATAAAAAATCATAATATAATGTTTTAATTTGATGGTACCGTCTCAGGTCGAAATACCAAGATAGTATCGTAAAATGTTACTGTGTTTCGTCTTCGTGTGATCGTGTTTTGACATGTAAGTGCTGTATATTCTGCATTATTAATATTTAATGCAGAATGTACAGATTACATATTAAAATGAAATTTCAGGAATTGAGGTCTTCTACTATGTTGTTTTTTATATTTTTACTATTGTAAACATAATTGTTATTTTATGACAAAATATGTTCAAGCGTTCTACGTATACTCACGAGACAGTAAAATGCAAGAGCATATGGCAAAGGCACAGTAGCCGCATCTTCCATCGTCCAATGTTTCGGAACAGGCCACAAGAGTTCAGGTGACGCCATCACACGACTGCTCGCTGCACCAGACGGAACTACTCCCATCACTTGAACACCACTGCCAAATAACAAACATTCTCACTGTCACTATATTTTTTAAAACCAAGCTATGTAATAGCATATGAAAGAAAACACCATTTTATCATCATTTACGTCTCATGACAATTAGTAAATCCATTAAAATCAAATACCTTAATATGCAATTTACGATTTGGAAGTGTATACGATGTGCGAGCAAACAAGTTAAAATTTTGACGACTATATTTAGAAATTTTCGAATATCTGAAAGTCCTTGATGAAAACATAGAGATCAGTCAAGTTAGAGTTAATGTTATGCTTTTAGTTATTCATATATATATATATATCTATCATCATCTGTCATATATTTTGAAGTATCGTTTTCTTTAGGTGGCGGGTTTTATAACCGTTGGGTATATTGCCCGTTTATTATATTTATTTTGGCGTACCATTCAGTGATACCACTGAAGTCCATTCCGTAAGAAATTTTTTCGATATCACTTTCCATCCTCATACCACATCTTCCTGTGGCAGTCATTGCATCAACAGTATTCAGCCCAGCGTAATGAATCTGAAATAAATCTCATTTCAGCATTTGTTATTTGTGAAAGTTCCATGATTATGATTGTTTTTTAAAGGTATCGACTGATTGGTATGGACGATGTTGTTGAACTAAAAAGACTATGAACCAACCATAACAGGAATCCCAGATGAAGCAGGCTCTTTTGTTTCAACCCAAGTAAGTGAATTTAAATCACCAATGCTTTTACTTCGTAAACTAATATAAGGCGATGCTAATGGTTTATATTCCAAAGGTACAGAATATTTTCCATCCTAAAAAATATTACATATAATTATTACTACACAGATATCAACTTATACTTGAATATAAAAGTGAGTAGACCAAACTATAGTTTAAATATAAAATATATTAATCGCTTTTTCGGGAAGTATTCAGAAATTTGGTCTTTATTGACTTGTATGAGATTGAGTAATAGGTGTTTTTGATGCTTTCATGTGTTCAAATTTTGTTTATTAAAACACTTTAACATATTAACACAAAACAAAGTAAACGAAATTTATATTGAGCAGTATATTCTATATTGTGCAAAATTGACAAAATATAATTATTATTCATTATTTATCACCTTTTCATATAAAACTTACATCAAGACCCGATGAATTGTTGAAATGCGCAGTTCTTAAAATAACTTCCTCTGAATTGGAATGTGAAAGATTACAAAATTTTATGTTTTCCATTGTTATTCCTCCACATCTGAAGTTTTTTATAAAATAATTAGTACTCATATTGATAGCCAGTACGTTTCTTAAATTTTATTTCACATTTTTAAAATTAATTTTTATAACAATCTTTAAAAGTACCTTGTCTTATCTGATATTTGATCAACGTTAGCTGTAAGAAAGATTTTTCTATTTAAACTATCCGTTTCTGCTAGATTATGCTGTTTAATGTCTATACACATCTTTCTTATTCCCAAAGGTTTGGAGACAGCATCGTGTTTCTGTCGCAAAACATTCATCTGAAGCATGCCGTCAATCAAAGATACCCAGTTACTATTCCAAAGCAGTTTAGCCTCCGTGAGAGTGTCATCAACACCATAGATACTACGGAATACGCCTCTGGAAAATAAAATTTCACCGTATACTAGTTCTTTTGTTATTAATGCTCTCTAACCTATTACTATAAGCGAATAATTTTATATATAACCATTGAAATAACTGTGAAACTATAATATCTTGCAACTGCATATCCAGTTATCTGGAAGACCGCCTAACTATTTACCTATCTAGTTATGACTTTAGATATAGCTATAGAAATGTTTATTGTTTTATATTGTCCTTGCTTGTCATTTACATATTTCATCAATGGTTATGGTTTTTTAATTAAATGTATGAAATTTGTCTAAATTAGAATAGTTGAATCAAAACATATAAAGCTATTTCGAAAAGTGAAATAAACCAAAACAATTATATAAATAACGAAAATAAAAAAAATAATTTAATAAATTGTTGCCATCACATAACAGTTTCCACACGTTTTGCGAGATTTGTTGCCGTTTCTGCCTGAAAACTTGTATGGGAGAAATCCACAGAAGGTCTTGCTGATACTAACTGGGTATAGAAGTTGCACAGTTTCATCACAGTTTAAGAGCTAGTATTAGTTATTTAAAATAAACGTATGTAATGATTTTTCATCTCTCTCTTTCCCTCTACCCCCATTATATGGTCGCCAATTGTTACAAAATTTCGTTAATCTGTTTGAAATTTGTATGTATACGTTGTCCAATGTTAACAATTAATAATTTTCTATTCTATTCTATTTTTTTACAACTTACCCATATGAATATTCACGTTCAAAAAGAATATTATATACGTCGTTGCTATTAAACATAATAGATTTATCTTCGACCTTTTCAAAAGTGTTGTCTATATCACATGTAGAACCTTCATTTACATATCCAGTAGCTATTTTTGAGTTTCCTTCCATGACCTTGAAATATTTTTTATTGATTTTTATAAAAAGCAATGTTCTTAAATTTGACGTAATGTTTCTAATAAAGCAATTTACTTCGTAGCTATTACAGATATTGATTGACAATATCTGTCACCAAAGAATATAAAAGTAGAGACAAATGAATTGCTACGAATGTTGTTTCATCTTACTTCAAAGCGCCCTTGCCCTCTGTGTATCGCCACGTGGATCATCAGAGGCCTGTTATCGTTAAAAACAGGCTGAGCGAAGAACTGAATGTCTCGGAAAGTCACAGATAGTTCCTTCTTAGGCTTGTTCGTGTACATAGCTACAGTATCCCAAACAGCAACCAACGCTGCCGCGAATGGATAAACCGTTTTTCCTATAAAGGGTATCTATACATTCAACAATATTATAGTCGTAAAAATTCATGTTGATTTCAGGTAAATAAATATATATGTAATGGTATCAAAATACTGATCAGTTATTAAAATGTCGCATAAAAATGATATTAAGGAAAATTTTGTTCACTGTTAACCCAAAAAGATAAATATAGCTAAAATTTAAATATTTACCGAAGATCCAAAGTTAAAAATATAAAATATACGATAAAGAGCATTTATCGTTTATCATTGATATTAATCCATTTTTCTGCATTAAATAATTTATTAAAACTCTTATTTCTGTGTATCTATATATCTGTGTACCTTTGACTACATGTCCACTCAAGTAATTGTGCTCGGGATCATGAAGACAAACCACATATTTGGCAGCAGCAGCAACTTTTCTATGTGCAGCAACATATAGAGGTAGAGGCCTACAAGCATGAACAATGCAAGGTTTAATATATATTTTAACAACTTACCACATGTCATAATAATTAATCTTTATAATTACCATTTTTCATTGTGGGCCCATTCCACAAGATGCGACATCATCGGTGTTTCTGTTGAAACTGGGAACTCTATCTTTGGATATAACACATTTACCTTAGGGTGATATCCTTCCATGAACAATCTGAAATTATGAATTCGTTTTTATATTACTATCTAGATGTGTTCGGTACTCATTATTCGTCAAATAGTCTTCAGTAATTTGCTCATTCTTTATTACATAATAACATTATTAAATAACTATAATACTGAATGTGTGATATGTTGCTGCTGTCTTCTTTGTCTGTTAATACTGGTCCAATACACGTTCTATAGGTATCTCATCATCAACTCAAAGTAGTTTGTATATAATTGTGTACGTATGTTTACTTACTTGCCAATGCTTTCCAGTACCATTAACGCATTGTCTGGATGTCCTCGGCGGGTGAGCGGGATGTGTTTGCACGAGACTGGTAAGGAACGCTTCAAAATAGCTTGCAGCAGACCGTGGGGGGCTATTTCCACTAACACCGCATTGGAAGGAATTAGTCGGGATGTTTCTTCAAAAAGTACTGGATTCTATAATTATGATTAAGTCATTAGAGTTATACGTCATAGTCATTGCAGATATAATATTTAAGTAGTTCAATAGAACGATATATGTAATAACATATAACAGTCCTTGGAAAAAAATATCAACCCCTTTCATAATCTTGTCTCAATTAGCAATTTATGTAAAATTTATTATATATGTACCTATTAAAAATGTTAAAGTCGATTTACTATCAGAGCACTAATTCCAATATATTATGCAACTAACCAGTAAGTTGTTAGCATGGTACTCGGCAGAAGATGTTTGAGCAGCTGGTTCATCCCACTTGTCTCTTGATACAGAAGTCGACAGCCATCGGTCGCTTCGCTCTTTTGGCGCCTTAATTACTTCGGACAGGTACTTCAGCAGTTTTGGTCCTAGATTTTATGCACGAAAATAAGCGACTAGTGAATATTCAGCATCCAATGTAATTCAGTGTAAGATTAATGTGAAATTTAAACATAGAAAAAGCCAATGAAAAGTTATTGTGTTTGTTTCTTCTTTGAATATAAATTAAACTTTGTGATGTGGTTACAACTGGTATTTAATAGATTTACATTAAAAATGACGGAGTAAATTCATAGCTAATACTTAAATAGAGAGAGAGTAAAAAACGTAGAATTGTGTGAACGGTGAGGCTATAAATCTGAATCCGCTGATGAGCTGAAGAAATTGCTACACAAGAATGCGTAGAAGCAAACAGTGCTAACATAAAAGAACCCAGGTTTTGTCTGTTAAATTATGTAATAAAAAGCTATAAACATGAAAGTAATAACAAAAAGGGTTTTCAACACGCTTATTTGAACAATAAGCGCAGTTTTCATTTTCAGTTGATTTCCTAGAACAATTGGTCTACCCTATTACATACTGAATTTTATATGAGAATCCAATGATATATTAGAAATGTAACTGTATAAAACTTTGCTGTTATTTTTTAATTATTCTTTAATAATAAATTAACCATATTAAGTATTCCAGATTTTCATATTATTGATATTCCACCACCGTAATATTGCAAGCCACGATTACGGAATCTACGAAGTACTCTAACGTAAGTGACTACAGCTGTGCTTAAGATTTTCAGCTATCAAACGTAAAAAACTTTTTAGATCTTCTATCTTATAAATCTCACCAGCCTCAGCGATGTAGCGGGAATGATACGCAATGTTGGAGCACGGCACTTCCTTTGCGAATATTCCTTTGGAGGAGAGACTCGCCACAAACTCCCTCATCACGTCTGCGGGTCCCGATATGGTGCTGGACTCTGACGAATTATGGCAAGCTACTTCGATTTCAGGAGGAAGCATATCCTTGATCTGATAAACAATTAAGTGCATTAGCTTCTTTGACTTTGATTTTGACTCACGTCATCGAGCACATTTCGATGTGGTGTGAAAACCACAATCAAGTAATAATTTTTAGCAGTTCAACCGAATCGGTGTGATCACATTATTTTATGACAAACTTTTTTTAGCAATCCTTACATCTTGATAGCCGATACCAACTGCAGCCATTGATCCGCGGATGAACGGTGTCTGGATTGAGACAAGTCCACGGCTGTAAGCGGATAGAATCATTTCCTCAGCGGTGAAACAACCATCAGCGTACGCGCAACCGAGCTCACCGACACTGTGACCTGGAAGTTTTTCTTCATTTAACATTTATTGTTAACAGAATAATAAAACGTTAGTACAACAATACACTTGCTGTGTTTCATTATCTTTTTAGTGTTGACATGTAATAAGACACATTTAATACCCGCCATACCCAACGGCCAAGTGCAAATCGGTGGAGCAGGTGCAGCTGCAGCTAACGGCTTGACTCCAAACGAACGGATAAATAAGAAAAGGAATAAGTGACCCCACTGCATTTACCTACGTGAATTCAATTTAAAATAAAATAATTGGGGTGGGTCAGTGATTTAAAAGACACATAATTTTTCTTTTGAGTTAAAATAACATGATCTATATCCGATGTTGAGAACACATAAATTGATTACTCACCTATAATTTTATTAGGAACAAGTCCAAGTTCTCTTAGAACATCCGTTAGCCCGATCTGTACGGCAGCGATACCAACAAACGAGTGAAGTATGTTATCGAAGATTTTTTTATCAATGGAAGTTATGATATGGACTAAATCAATTCCCTTTGGTTCGAGAGCCCGCTGGCATCTGAAATTATTTTTGTACCCTGATAATTCATTCGCTCAAAAGGACACATTCGTTCAAATGATACTCAATGGAAATCTGTTAAATTATTTAAAAATGCTTAAGTACCTTATTATTCTTAAAGATACAAATTATATGTTTAAGTTTAATTATAGTCTACAAATTACCTGTAGATGGCGGCGGCGAAGATGGGTATGCGCATGAGCTGAGTGCCCATGCCGGCCCACTGGGAGCCCATTCCGCTGTACACGAACCACAGCGGGCGGCGCGCTTCGTCGAAATACTCGCAATTCTCTGTCAAAGTCACTGTCTTTTGTTCCGCATTTGTGTCTTTAAAGGGAAGAAGGAAAACTAACTTAGTTTTAATATTATTAAAACAGGCAAATATTTTTTAGTTTTAGTAGTTAAACCATTGCACTAATTTTGATGAATTGAGATATTTAGAGCCCAGGACTGGTTGAGATTTATAAAGACTGTGTTTTTATCAATTATTAATAATACAATCAAAGCTTATAACTATAATAGGTAATCTAATTCTATATTGTCATTAAAAGTATGATTACCAAGAATTATATAACCTCTGGCTAGGTGACCAGATATAGTTGTGTTGTGTATATTATGGAAGAGCGCCAGTTGTTCAGGATCCACAGGACGAGATTTTAAAGCCTCAAATATTTTTTGTACTGCGCTCTCGTGTCTCGCCGATATCGTCACGATATGAGGTATGCTCGACTTGTATCGAGTGTTGTCCTGAAATATAATACTCACAAATAAATTGACTTGCCTAGCTAAAATGATTCGTTGCTATTTGCAATGAGTTATTAGCTATAGAAAATTTCGCGATTATTCCTTATAAAAGGTAATACTTATGCTCCCATATCAATATTATGTATTAAATAAATTTTTGATATTATAATTAATCCACACCACACTTACCTTGGGTTTATACCTGCCACCGACCAACATGTGAGCGGTACACCCTGTGATGGAGTGGTTGTTGATGGCCACGTAGCCGCGTCGGAACGGCTCGTTCTCGGTGACGACGCGCATCCTGCCGTCATGCAGCGCGGGCACGTCGCTGCGCGGGCTCGAGCAGTGCAGGTTTGCCGGTATAAAGCCAGTGTGGTATCCCAATAACACCTAATATTTAATTAATCTAGAATTATCTATTTACATACACGTGGCTAAAATTTGAGTTTAAAACTTAAAGGAAATTAAATGGACTTTATATAAAATTTTATGTGCAATAACACTTATGAGTTAAAATCTAAATTTCCATTCTTCATAAAGCATTAATAGAAATCTTTAAATAATGAATTTTTATCCTACCATTGACTTATTTTGTAAAGTGTCGATTTGTTATTTATTAATAAAGGTGTCTGGAAGCACATTTATATATTTTGTCTCTGATATGTTTTTGTACCTTTATCAAGGAACAGAGTCCTGAAGAAGCCTCTGAGTATCCAATGTTAGAAAATACGCTGCCAATCAACAGGGGATTGATTCTTGCTTTGCAAAATAGTTCACTTATTACTTCTAACTCTGCTTTGTCTGCATTTGGTATAGCTGAAGGAATATTCAAAATTATAACGTGATTTTTGTACCAGTCATAGTTAAAATTGAATCTTAAAATTATCTATGTATGATCTCCACCAACCAGGAGGCTGCAGAGCGCGTCGCAGCTCATTTCACATTGCGCTAAAGGAAATATAGACTTTTTTCTACAATTACCAAAGCTCATTCGAGTTCCAGCAGACGCAGCTGTTGGGTGGACGTGGTCGACTACTGGCTACTCTGAGATGGCTACTCTCCGTGGTCGACTACTGACTACTGGCGTGGTTCCTCGAACCGTGGCACGATCCTGCCACCGGTGGCGATGGCGATCAGCTCCATTTCCGGCCCGCCCACCCATCTCACAGCCGGCAGACCAGACGACAGCAGCAAGTGGTTAGCTTCGTCGTCGAAACCCCACTGGCATATAGCCAGAGTCGCACCCGCTTCCTTGACTTGCCGGACCATCTGCAGGAACTTGTCGTGTTCGTACTGGCGCAACTCTCGGTACTCGTCAGCGGAGCCTACTTGGAGCTTATGCTTGGTCTTAGGCTTTGGTGGCTCGAATGGGCAGGTAAGAATAGCCAGTTTCACATCCTTTAACACTTTAGGCATCTGTGGGTGGCTCATTGTTTTGTCTATGATATTTTTTTCTGTTGGAGCAGTGGCGAAGATCCACCCTGCTCAAATAATCTTCAAATATCACGAACATCTTCGTGTAAAGGAAGGCTCAGAATAATGTCCGGTAGTTGGAATAATAGCCGTGGAAACGGTGGTTCCAAATTTGGAGGTGGTGGTAACAAATTTGGTAACAATGGATCATCTCGCTTTGGTGGTGGTGGCGGCGGCGGCGGAGGAAATCGCTTTGGAGGATCAGGCGGCGGTTTTGGTGGCAAGAAAGAATTCTCTGGTGGCCAAAACATGCGTCGCCCTAATTGGGACTCTTTATCTTTACAACCATTAGGGTATTTTTCAAAAAAACTTTCACAAGCTGAAACGAAATATTCTACTTATGATAGGGAATTATTAGCAGTATTTATGGCTATCAAATATTTTAAAAATTTAGTGGAAGGCCGTGTACTGACTATTTATACTGACCATAAGCCTCTCGTTTTTGCATTTTCAAAATTAAATAACGACAAAGAAAGCCCTAGAAGAATTCGTCAATTATCTTACATTAGCGAGTTTACCACCGATATTCGTCATATCAGCGGTGAGCAAAATGTAGTCGCAGATACACTTTCGCGGATAGAAACGATCAGTTGTCCTACATTACTCGATTTTAGAGAAATAGCTGAGCAACAACTTAGTGACGAATACCTACAGCAAGCGTTGCAAGCAACAGATAGTAAATTACAATTTAAACAAATATTATTGCCAGACTGCGAAAAATATATTTATTGCGAAATTTCATCTAACAGAATTAGACCATATTTACCAGATAAATTCAGGAAAATTGCTTTTCATTCAGTTCACGATTTAAGTCACCCCGGTGTTAAGACTACCAGAACTTTAATTAAACAACGTTTCTTTTGGCCTAATATGCTTAAGGATATAGCGAGTTGGACTAGAACCTGTTTTAGTTGCCAGAGATCAAAAATTAATAGGCATACGATAGCAGGATTAGGAGAGTTTGAGCGTGCAGACCGTTTCCAACATGTTCATATAGATATTGTAGGCCCGTTGCCTACATCGGCAGATGGACATAGATACTGCGTAACAATGATAGATCGTTGTACCGGATGGCCGGAAGCTTTTCCAGTTCACAATATTACAGCTGAAACAGTAGCCAAGGTAGTATTTGAAGGCTGGATATCTCGATTTGGAAGCCCTTCGAAGCTTACTAGCGACCAGGGTAGACAATTTGAGAGTGATCTTTTCAGTCAGCTAATGAAGTACCTAGGTATTTTTAAAATGCGAACAACACCTTATCATCCGCAGAGTAACGGCATGGTTGAGCGATGGCATCGAGCACTAAAAGTGTCACTTACGGCACGTTTAAACTGCAATAGTAACTGGGTGACCGAGCTTCCAGTCGTGTTGTTAGGCTTACGAGCCGCAACCCGCAGTGACAGTGGCGTTAGTGCAGCAGAGTTAACTTATGGTAAAACAATTCGTTTGCCAGGTGATTTTTATGAAGATTCCAAATTAAATTGCTCGGATTCGGAATATTTACAAAATCTTCGCGATTCCATTAAAAGTTTGAGACCTAAACCGTCAAGTCATGGTAATTCACGTTCGTTATTTCTGCCTAGCGAATTAAATAGTTGTAAGAGTGTATTCATAAGAAATGACGTGTTTCGTAAATCTTTGCAACCTCCTTATGATGGCCCTTACGACGTTGTAAGTCGGAAAGGCAAAACTTTCGATATTAAAAAAGGAGATAAGACAAAAACTATTTCAATAGAAAGATTAAAACCAGCATTTCTTATAAATAGTGATAAAGATTTTAGTTATAGTTCGAATTTTAATAAGAGTAACGATTCTAGTTTAGATAACGAGGTCACTTCCAGTAAAGCTCTACAGCCGAGAACTACGCGTAGTGGCCGCGTTATCAATACACCCGTACGTTTTACAGCATGACGTAATACATACGTATGTACCTATAGCATAGCTAGTCGAACGGACGAAACATAGAGAACAGTATACGAAATACGAAGCAAGCGGAAGTCTTTGTAAATTAAATAATAGGTAGTTCTGTTCTCAAGATTTCAATTTCATCGATATAGCTCTAGAAATAATAACAGTGGGTACTGATTTAAACAAAGAACTTTTGTCAACCAATTTTTGTACTCAGCTTACAAGATCGCCGCGTTCCCACAATTTGTTAATGTAAATATTACTCATTTGTTAATGTAAACAAATCGATACGATACGTGAATAGTAGTGAATAAGTAGCATAGGGAATATTAGGTTTAGTGGTTGTGGAAATTATAGGTTCAATTCCATATTCAGCATGTATTTGTAGAGTATAATAAATATAATTTTAGATTGGTTAGGATTTAGATATTATTAAACAGTAATTTTGTTTAGTAATAAGCTTTTGATAGGAAACATGTAATTTAATTTGTTTACTAATAAGTAAGAATTTGTATTCGATAAAAATTAAATGTTTTATATGACATATTATTTTATATTTACTTTAATTACTTGTCATTTATTTAAAAATTGTTTATATTATTTTTATTGTTCTTTATTGTACTGTTCTTTTACATTTCTTACAATATGTGATGTGTACTTTTATTTTTTATTGTAAGAGGGGGAGTACTGTAGGGACACATATGCCTACATGTACATGTACAGTTTAGTTTGTAAGATGTTTATAAACAATTTGTTAGCGTCTGTAGAACAAAGACTTTTTAACTAGTCGCTAATATACGGAGTTACAGAGTGAACGTGTTTTCTTATTTAACCTTCTGATAACATAAATAGGGTCCGACACTTAATACCCTAAATGGCTCATGCCCCGAATATTCACGATGTCCTGCACTCCACCACCGCCCGATTGGTTGAGATCTTATATTATTCTATTTCTCATTATGAGGTGTTTTAGTTTTAATTCCGATGTTTAGTAAATAATGCTTTATTTTTGCGAGTGTTATCTGTATACTCTCACAATTCAAATATCTCTCAGGGGAGCTATATTAAAAATAAAAGGAACATTACCTGATCCCATGGCTTCCACATATTCCACAACTTCAGGAGAAATACGGACTTCATCATAAAAGTTTTTCAAGAATTTATTTAAAACTATAGGGTCTCTGTAAAAGCCGTGGTCAGCGTTCATCTGTATGTAATCATTTTTTATGTGTTCAGCGTAAGTTCTAGAATATAAAAAAAAATATGGTATTACTAAATTTTATAATGGGCATATGAGAATGTTATTAATCTATTTTTTTGCTATAATTTTGATGAATTTAGCAGAAAATCTTCAAATTGTTTTACAAAAGAACAAAATCCTTAAATATAGCATAAGTCCTAGAACAGAATAAATATTGTTATCTAAATGTATCTTTTTACGCGGAATCGACTCTTCTAAAGTTCGAGATTTTCCATGGAGAGACTTCTTTTTATACTGAAAGCTACATTTAGCGATCTTAGGATCTTAAAATTCAGTGGATCTAACAGCAAAATCATGAAGTCTTACTCTTAGCATCATTGTTTGATTATATGATCTGCAATTCTCTTATAACATAGAAGATAAGAATAATAACCTCAAGGCATCTTTCGCTTTTTGTAAAAATACTACTTGAATGGCTTCAGATTTAACACACCCATCAGCGTTGTCATCGAAAGATTTCGTTTTGCCATCTGAGCAGTTTGCTATAATCCTGAAAAAAAAATATTAATTAATTATTGATTGTTTTCCAAATATGTTTAGTTTATAGTATATTCTTTTATTATAACATGACAATATTTAGATCTATTGTTTAATGAAAGTACGAGTATGCAATCTGGAAGTAATTTACAATAACGTCTAAAATTTATTTTATATTTTCAAACAAAAACACATATATTACCTGCCAGTATGAATAGAAGTCTGTGGATGCAAGATCAAATTAGCACCTCCCACTATAGCAGCCTCGCAATCACCTCTGGTGAGGGCCTGATAAGCCAGAGTGAGAGCTGCGGAAGAGCTGCAGCAGGCCTCATCGATAGCCATGGAAGGACCCTTCAAGTTGAGCCAGTACGATATACGGTTGGCGAACATGGTCTTACTGCATCTATTAAGTAGATAATAAAATCGTTTAAAGATAAATCTATCTATATGTTTTTTTTCCTAGACGTTCTTTGTTTTTTTTTTGACTTTTGGCTTTATTATTCGGTAACACGCAAAAAATTTGATCTATCTTGATCTAACCCGATGTCTGCATGTAATTTAGAGATAGCTTCCGGCAATTGTTATAACCAACCAAATATATGCACTTTGCCGTTGTAACTTCTTTATAGTTATTATTTGTACAAACGTTAAAATCTCATTACTAATATCAAATTTTCACATACCCCATAATACCAATGCTGGTCCTCGCACTGGATGAATAGAAGCAAGCCTTCTCAGTCTCTAAGAAGCATGCACCGATGAATACAGCTACTTTCTTTCCATTCAGGTGATGGGGGTTTATGCCTTAAACAAATATTAAATGTTTTTGACTTTTTGTTGACATCATCAAAATACACAAATATTTATCTTTTCTGCTATTTGGCCCTAAGACATAATATACTTTGTCTAGAACCAAAAAAATACCGTATTGTTTTAGAGCTTACGCAAAAACATGTAGAACTTGCAGGTTACAAAGTATTCGCACTAACGAATATAGCTAAGAGTCTTAAGTGATATTCTAGTTATATTTCTAACTAGCTGTGCCCGCGACTTCATCTGCGTGAGAAGTATTTTGGTAGAATTCTTTTTTTCCTACGAATGCAGACGAATCGAATAAGATCAATAGGCCATAACCCACTATGCGGGCTTAATGCGTATCGGTGGGTGTTAACGTTGCTGATGCAGCCAGGACTAACGCCTTAACGTGCATTGTGCCAGTGTTATGCACAGTGCTCAAGATAATAATGTTTTGGTCACCCATCCTGTAAACGGTCCTTACGAATGTTATTTTTCTATTTTTTTCTCGTTTCTCGCGCTCTGGTTGTTGCTTGTGTCTGAGCATTTTATTCGTACCTTTAAACGGTCCTTCTTTTGTTTCGATCTTTTTAAATTATTATTATTTGTCTAGTTGTATGCACAATCGGTTATTTATTGTTCTATTTTTCATGTAATGCTATTTTGCCTGGAAGAAATCGCCGGCTAGCGATGAGTATGTCGTTTGTACTTATTTATGTAAAATACGTATTCATGTATGTCCTTGTTGTGCAGTATTTACTTACTTATTTAATTGCAATTTACACCGAATGCGCTAACCCACTACGCCATCGGACCCCTTATGCCTAAGCTATACTAATATTATAGAGAGGAAAGATTTGGTTGTTTGTTTGTTTGCATCGAATTTGTCTCACGATGGGCAGTTAAATACGCTTCACGTTTATCAGGTGTCTCCCGAGAGCGAGCGCTTTCTGTCTGATCTCTTTCTTTATCTATAAAAGTCGGCCAGTACATGTCTGACGGAAGATACGTGGAGTTTTATTTATTGATAAAAAAAAAAATATATACATATTTTAATTTCGACTTTCCACACTCGAAGGAAATCGTCTACTAACATACTTCCGTGAGGTGCTTAACTGAGCTTCTGTCAGATTTGAACGGCCCTCATCATCATCATCATCAGCCCTTTTATGTCACCAATTGCAGGAGCTAAAGAGCCTTCCTTATGGATGGTTAAAGAGGATGGGCCGCGACTGTGGATTGGAGGATATTAACGACTGCAAATACAACCGGGACCAATCGCTTTACGTGCTTTCCGAAGCTTGAAGTTGCTTGAGATAATATTTTTTGGTTATCCATCCTGTGCCCGACCTTTGCGAAAGTTGCTTGACAACTAAAATCGCGGGCCATGGCGCTTATTCACTACGCCACCGAGCTAATCTGAACCGACCTATGAATAAAGCATTGTTTCCAGCGAAGACTGAAAATACCAACTTTGAAGACCGTATCTACAGCAATTTGTATGTTAAAAAAAAAGAAAAAATATATATATAACTCGAGTTGTTTTTACGACCAAAACCCGTACTCTACACCTTCTCATGGGAAATGAAAACCGGCAAGCTATGGCCGAGTCACCAGGACACTCAAGTATTGGACCATTGGTCCCCTTGCAGATGGAAAATTGGAGAGACTCGGGTAAATCGAGTGCCTCTCCCAGACAGACGAAACCGTGCAATGCGGGAGCGGCTGCCAATCACCTCCGCTGGCCCCAACGACGACGTGAACCTAATCTGATAAAAATATGCGTTCACTGTAAACTACTCGAAGCTTAATTGCATCATCGGAAGTCTCTTTCGCGCTTGTTCTCCTACTTGCGTGAGCGTATACCACATGTCCATTATAAGCTGAACCCTATTTAATATGATTGGCCCTATATAAATGAGGTCAACTCACTTGGGAGATTCAAAATTTTGGAATCTAATTTTTTTTATTTGTCATGATACGAATTATCATTTAATAGACAATATTAATTCGAAGCTCGGTGGCGCTACGGATATGCGCCGCTGCGCACGATCGCTATTGCTAAGCAATTTTCGCAAGAGTTGTTCACGGGATGGGTGACCAAAGCTTCTAATGGACGAATGGTATACGATCACGCAAGTAGGAGAACAAGCGAAAAGAGCCTTCCGATGATGCAATTAAGCATTGAGTAGTTTACAGTGAACGCATATTTTTAATAGATTAGGTTCACGTCGTCGTCGGGGCCAGCGCAGGTAGTTGGCAGCCGCTCCCGCATTGCACGGTTTCGTCTGTCTGGGAGAGGCACTCGATTTACCCGAGCTTCACCAATTTTCCATCTGCAACGGGACCAATGGTCCAATACTTGAGTGTCCTGATGACTCGGACATAGTTTGCCGGGTTTCATCTCCCATGAGAGGGTGTAGCGTACGGGTTTTAGTGGGTAGGCCTCTGGGGACCCATTGGGCAGCTCACTGTCGGGGTCACGGAGTAGAATCCTACTCACCACCTGTTGTTTGCCAATTTCAGTAACTGAGACAATGACAGAAGCTTTTCCACGACGTTAAAAAAGTTAGATTCACGTCAACTGAAGTACGCGAACATAAAGACAACTCGAGTTATATATTTTTTTCTCTTATTACTATTTTTTATGTTAATACTCTTTTTGTTTTTTTTTTAAGATACAAATTGCTGTAGATACGTACTTCAAAGTTGGTATTTTCAGTCTTCGCTAGAAAAATGGTTTATTCATTGGTCACAAGTCTGAGGGTTGGTTCAGAGGTGCTCGGTGGTGTAGTGAATAAGCGCCATGGCCCGCGATTGTAGTTGTTAAACAACTTTCGTAAAGGTCGGTTACAGGATGGTTGACCAAAAAAATATTATCTCAAGCAACTCCAAGTTTTGAAAGGCTTTGGAATTTGCAGTCGTTAATATCCTCCAGTCCGCATTGAGCCAGCATGGAGGGTTGTGGCCCATCCTCCTTAACCGTACATAAGGAAGGCCTGGCTTCCTGCAGTTGGTGACGTAAAAGGGTTGATGATGATGATGATGATGATGAGGGCCGTTCAAATTTGAAGCTCAGTTAAGCACCTCTCGGAAGTATGTGTTAGTAGATGATTTCCTTCGAGTGTGGAAAGTCGAAATTATAATGAGTATATATTTTTTTATGTCAACAAACAAAACTCCACGCATCTTCCGTCAGACATGTACTGACCGACTTTTATTGACAAAGAAAGAGATCGGATCGAAAGCGGTCTCGGTCTCGGTCCGGAAGACACCTGAAAAACGCGAAGCGTATTTAACTGCCCATTGCGAGGCTCATGCACTATAAAGTTGAATCAGAAGCATTTACCGTCAGGGATAATCTCTTGAGCTTTCGGAGAACTTATACAACAAGCGTTTTATCTCAGGAAACTTCTGAAGATCGCATAGCGCGTTTCATTGCTGATCATAACATACATGCAGTATGGTATGAGTATGAAACTTTCTTTGATAGAGAAATGCGCTTGGTCTCTGAAAGAGCTCGCAGTTTGCTAAGGGAGATCGAGAAAGTAGTTTCGATTATCGCCAACCCGTGTAGCCTTCATCCTCCACAGGCGTACCGCCGATAACTTTTCACAGGGTATAATGAACTAGCTGTTTTCCCGCGACTCTACCGCAAAATTATAGCCTATGACATCCGCGTCTAATGTAGTAAGCCGTAGGTCGGAATAACTCTGAAACTATCGGTCCAGTAGCTTTGGAGCAAATTCGATTCAAACAAACAAACAACCAAATCTTTCCTCTTTATAACATTAGTATAGCTTAGGTATAAGAGGTCCGATGGCGTAGAGGGTGAGTGCATTCGGTTTAAAATGCAGTTAAATAAGTAAGTAAACACTGCACAACAAGGACATACATGAATACTTATTTTACGTAACTAAGTACAAACGACAAACTCATAGCTAGCCAGTGACTTCTTCCAGGCAACCTAACATTACATGGAAAATAGAACAATAAATAGCCGATTGTGTATACAACTAGACAAATAATAATAATTTTAAAAGATCAAAAACAAAAGAAGGACAGTTTAAAGGTACGAATAAAATGGTCAGACACATTACAGGATGAGTGACAGACCGTTTACAGGATGGGTGACCAAAACATTATTATCTTGAGCACTGTGCACAACACTGGCACAATGCACGTTAAGCCGTTAGTCCTGGCTGCATCAGCAACGTTAACACCCACCGATCCGCATTAGGCCCGCATAATGGGTTATGCCCATTATACATTGGTCTTATTCGATTCGACTCCATTCATAGGAAAAAAGAATTCTACCAAAATACTTCCCACACAGACGAAGTCGTGGGCACAGCTAGTTAATTGATATATTCCGCTAATTTTATAATTTAATAAATATACCAGCATCGTATAGAGCCTGATATGTATGTTCCAGAATTTTCTTAGCCATGGCGTCCATGCCGCTGCCGAGCCTGTAGTGGACCTTGAAGAATTGCGCGTCGAAACGATCCAGCCCCGGCACTGTGCCCACGTACTGCGATACTTCGGGATAGTTGGATTTCCATCGCTTGTTTTCTGTCGTAATAGGATTAACCTAGGAAATATAAATGGAAAATTCTGGTTTTGTTTTACCCAACTCGCAAATTATTAAATATAAAAAAATATGGTAACCCTCCTTTTCGCTTCGCCAACATTCTATTTTTTTTCTAGTTTAAGTTCATGAAAGCTTGTTTTGCTTTCAGATATCACTTGCACTTATAGATGCAGCAGTTCCTAACTACACGTTTGACAATAAGCATAATCAATTAAATTAACTAATAACATCTCTGAAGTCATGTAGTTTCTACCTTTAATATTTTCCTATAAGAAAAGAGTATAATTAAATACGAGAAGAATGGAACATGTGGTGTTTTTTTTTAGACAAAAGTCAGATTCTGACTTTAATTGTTACTTCAAATTGATGCAAAGTAACTTCTGTTTTTAATGTTACAAAATTTTACACCAAAACAATATTCAAGTTACATTTCTTTTTCATTCTAACGTTTCCGTCGTCAAATAACTTGGACGGTAGTTATCTAATTTATTATATAACGTTTAAAGTAGCAATCGCAGCAATTTGAACGAATGATAATTTAAATGATCGCGTCGTTTGCAATGATCCATTCTCCATATTTGATACGTTTAGACTTTGACTGAATACCTTTATAAATAACCAACCTTACTATACAGAATATCACTAAATTCTTTGACATTATTTGACATCGGATATAGACCAGATATTCCAGATATGACCACAGCTTCTCCACCCGACTTGTTCAATCGTCCCACATTTTCTCCAACTGTCTCTTGAGGTTCCGGGGCCATTTCGTTATATTTCACTTAACTATGATATTGGAAGTGTTAGAAATAACAATTGTTGACGAGTACTTAACACGACGAGCAATTATTAGTATTTTCATTTATTTCCTATTGTACTCGTATTTATATAGCAACTCAAAGTGCCATTAGCTTTAAAAATAGTACTACGCTATTCCAGGGTTCCAATGTCGAATAAATACTACTACTGCTACTATTGTGACTGCAAAATATAATAAATATGAATGTTTTACGATCCTCGTGGACGAGTCACTTGGTTATAAATTTATTCAAATTCAATATTATTTATTCAGTCTAGTTACAAGCGGTTACAAGCACTTGTGAATGTCAATAGCCACGCCATCGGTTCGCAGATTTTTTTTTTTATTTTTTTTATATAGAATGGAGGGCAAATGACTGCGCTCCACCTGATGGTAAGCGGAGGCGCAGTCCAAACGCGAGGACAGCTGGTGAAAACAGTACGTAGGTACTGCACTAGCCAACCTCACCTTGCCGACCTGCAAGGTGCTTCTTCACGCCCCGCTTGAAGGACCCCATGTCATAGGAAGGAGGGAATACATGGGTCGGGAGACAATTCCATGTTTTGGAAGTACGACAAAGAAATGAGTCGCCAAATTTCTTAGTACGCGAAGGAATCGTTGCCACAGTTAGTTGGTGGCAACGCAAACCAGCACGTGTGGTCCTGAGGAGGAAGGGAGATGGGGGGATAAGGGAAAAGAGTTCTTCAGAGCATTCACCATGGTAGAGACGGTAGAAGACGCTGAGCGAAGCAACGTCTCGGCGCAGTTGCAGGCTTTCTAGGTTCTTGGTGACTTCACCATTGCCAAAGCATCGAGTAAGTACCTAGCGGAGCCATCCCAAAGGTGCGAGCAATACTCCACGCATGACCGGACCTGCGTTTTGTATATATATCTACGTCGGGGCGACCTTATACTGAGAAAAACCGGCGAGAAACTCAGCAGGGGCTGCTTCTTTCTCTTCAAGCCCTTCGCCAGTTTCAAGATTTCGTGATCTCTGAGGTAATGAGGAGAAGGAGCTTTGAGGAGGGCGATGGAGAAAAACCGAGATTTCTATATTGTTTCCAGTCTGGGTATTATTTTACCTTAATCGTTTCTGGTTTCCATAATACAAGTGCTGTAGCTGCTTACAAACCAAATTATCTGAGCACTGAATGTGTTGTTTAGTATATTTATATATATCATCTCTTTATGATATTTGACAAGCTTCTCCATTTACTAACAAACGGTTATAAAATATGACATGAACAAGAACATAAGTTAGTAAAAACAAACGAAAACATTAAACAATTATCAAGTCATTAAAAACGTTTACATTTATTAAACTTATTTTTATTAATTATTGTACTTAATACATTTGACTTATTTATTTACCCCTGGCTGCCGTAATCTACCACAAGAGTGCCAGAACGATATTTACGATGCAATCTTATAGCTACATACATATATTGACAATATATAAAAAATCAAACAAATCATTTCGAGCATTTGAGACTGTGGGTAGTTAGAATATATGTTATGTGCGGTAGGTGTGTATTTAAATAAACAGCCGGGCTGACGCATGGTAACGTTGGAAAACGCAATTTAATTTATTCCTCAAGGCATCGGGGTGCATAAGGAAAAAGAAGACGTTCAAGCAAGTCTATTGATTAACTTGATAGGATCGGACGGTTTCGATGTTTATGAGACATTCACTTTTGACCAAGAATGTGAAAAGGATGACTTCACACTGCTTTTTAAAAAAAATATTGTTTTTCGGTGTCAAGCCAAACATCACGCTGGCAAGATATAATATTTTTACTCGAAATCAAGAAATCGGCGAGTCGATTAATCAGTATGTCACTTGCTAAAATTACTAGCAAAAACCTGTGATTTTAAAACATTGGAAGATGAATTAATTCGCGACCGTATCGTGTGTGGCATAACGAATGCTGTCGTTCGAGATAGGCTGTTGAGTAGTGAAGATTTAACTTTAGAGAAAACTATAAAGATTTGCCAAGTGGACGAAATATTAAGCGCCAGCAACCGTGTATTGATGAGAGAGAGACAGATGAGAGATGCGGGCCTGGGGTCTGCGCGAGAAGTGGATACTGTCGGTGTGCGTGATGGCAGCGGCGCCGGCGGCGGCAGAGCCCGCGGTGGTCGGGGTGCTGGCTTCATTAAGCGTCGAGGCTACAGCGGAACCATGAGGCGTCCTCGTGACTCATTTGATCCCTGCGAGAGGTATGGGAGTCAGTGCGCCGGGCCTACTTCCTGTCCGGCTATTACAGTTCAGTGTTTTGTGTGCGAAACCTACGGTCGTTTTGCAAGAGCGTGTAAAGTTTAAAAGAGTGGTGAAGTAAATAAAATGTATGATATTGCCGTGTGTAGTGATCGAAGCGACGACGTTGATGCGTTTTATCTTTCGACGTTGTGTAACGTTGCCGAGCTGAATAGTTCCTCAAACTGGTATGAAACTTTAGGAGGTGAGTGCGGCGACGAGAAATTTAAATTAGATACTGGTGTGGACAATAATGTTTTGTCATATGATAGATAGAATTAAATAACAATCTTACAGTGGTGATTTGAAAAATGTCGTATTTGCGTGGAGGAGGTAACATATTTAGGTCATTGTTTTGGAAAGCACGGTATGAAACCGGATCCTGAAAAAAAAGGCAATTATAAAAATGCAAGAACCGAGTGACAGGAAGAGTTTAAAAAGTTTTTTAGGCGCAGTCTATCATAACTATTTGTCAATGTTTATACCGAACTATTCGGAACATTCATATTTCTTACACGTTTACTGAAAAGAGAAAGTACATGGAGTTGGGAAGAAGGTCATAAATGTGCTTTTGAAGACTACATGACGTTAATAGTCCAGTCCTGATATCAGTAGACGCTAGCAGTGTAGCACTTGGTGCAGTACTTTTGCAAGGGCGTCGCCCTATAGAATAAGCTTCACGTACACTTACAGATATACAAGTTAGATACGCGCAAATTGAAAAAGAAATGCTTGTTATAGTTTTTGCTTGCGAGAGGTACCGTCAGTATATTTACGGTAAAAATCGAGTAGTGATTGAATCTGACCATAAACCCTTAGAAAGTATTTTTAAAAAAGCTTTAGATTTGATCCCGAACTTACAACTAATGATGTTAAGGTTACAAGGCTACGACTTGTTGGTAATTTATAAGCCCGGAAAGTACATGTTTATACCGGACACTCTTTCGCGTGCGCCTTTGCCTGAAGTATATAATAGTGAGATAGATGAATAAGTTTTGAATCAGATTAAAATGGTTATCAATAATATGCCTGTATCACAATTATTAAAAAGGAAACCGCTAAGGATTACGTGTTAAAAGAATTAATCGGCTACATAAATAAAGGATGGCCCGTTCATAAATATAGTTTACCACAACATTTAAAATATTTTTATTCTATGAGAGATAGTTATATTGCGTTGATGGAGAAATATTTAAAAACAAACAAATTGTTATTCCCTCAGCCTTAAAATCAGAAATGTAAAAAATTATTCATGAAGGGCACTTAGGAATAGACCGTTGCGAGAGGGGCGCACGAGAAGTGTTGTTTTGGCCGGGCATCAACAGAGATATTGAGGATTATGTAAAAAAATGTAGGATATGTCAGGAGAATTCAAATAAACTTGCAAAACAACCGATGATACCGATCACAATACCTGATTTATCGTGGAACAAAATTGGTACTGATTTGTTCGAATATGGAAAGAAAAATTATTTAATTTTAGTGGATTATTATTCAACATTTATAGAAATTCCACAATTAAAAGATTCTACAGCAGAATCAATTATAAAGGTCTTGAAAGAAAATTTCGCTCGTTACGGTATACCAGAAATAGTAGTAAGCGATAACGGGCCGCAATATTCATGCCGTAGTTTTAATATATTTTCCTCTGAATAGGGATTCGGTCACGTTACTTCATCTCCACATTATGCTCAGTCCAATGGAACAAGTGACGGGGCTGTGTAAACTGTTAAAAAGATTTTAAAAAAGTCAATTGATAGCAAATCGGATTTATTTATTTATTTAACAAACTTTATTGTCCATTAAATTGGTACAAGAGGCGGACTTAATGCTATTAGCATTCTCTACCAGTCAACCTTTGGGATACAGACATACACGATGGCGGCATAAAGTTAACTTATAAATATACTACTTAAACTACACTTTAGAAGAATTTATATACAATTATATAAACATAAATAAATATTATACTACACATAAACAAATACATAAATATAATACATATATAAATAAATAAATAAAAAATACTATGTTGATCTTCATAAACGTTCCAGGAGAAAAGTGTAAGCTTTCCGTTTAAAGACGAATTTGTTGGGAGATTGTCTGATGGTGTCGGGGAGGCCATTCCACAGTCGTATGGCTTGCAGGGTGAAAGAGTCGGCCATAAAGCCAAAATGGAAAAGTGGAGTAGATAATGCAAGTGTATTAGCAGAACACAGTTGTCTGTCATGAGAACCACAAAGGTATTGAAATTTACATTTAAAGTAAGTTGGAGAATTAGGGTTAGAAAGTATGGAAAAGAGCATACAGAGCAGTCGTAGCCGTCTGCGCTGACGAATACGAAGCCATTTTAGTTGAGACCAATAAGACAAAACATGATTATACTTGCGAAGGCAGAAAATAAAACGAATTGCATTGTTGACAAGGCGCTCCAACTTATTGAGAAGATCTTCATTATAGGAAGAATAAGGGAAGTGACGAGGGTAACCTTAGTTTTGATAGGAAGGAAATATCTGAAACGATTAAGCGAGCGCAAAGAATAAGTTACCACACGACTGACCTCGGCAACCTGTGATGTCCATCTGAGCTCCGAATCAATATGAAGTCCAAAGTTTTTAACTGTAGAGCTGAAGGGCATTACAGAGTTTTCGTACACAACAGGTGGGAGTAGACCAGAATCAAGTATAATAAGCTGTTTGGAGCTTCCTACA